CCATCCCCATTGACCACATTGGATTTGAGTTTGAGGTAAGGGCACTCTGGGTGAGGACCTCTCAAGCGACCAGCCAGAGAAAGCAACATTGCCTAATTTCTTTGTAAATCCAAACATTGGGCGTGTTAAGGCCCAAATGCCTCTGAGATGCAAATGAAATGCTTAGCATGACTTACAGTAACTCCCAAAGCTATTCTCTATGAAATGGGGGACTCCCAGGGCTTTGTCTCTGTGTGTATAAAAAAGAATCTTTTCTGAGAAAACTTCTGTCACCATGGTGCCAAGAAATATGAAAGCATCCTTCCATGCAGCCTGTTCAACATGGTGGACTCTTTATTTGGAGAAATGTTAATACCCTTGGGAATGTTAATACCCTGTTTTCTTCCTTAGAAATGGGGAAAAAAAGCCAGGCTTGGTGGTGCAGGCCTGTAATCTCAGCAAATTGGGAGGCTGATGCAGGAGGATCACAAGTGTAAGGCCAGCATCATCAACTTAGCAAGACACTGTCTCAAAGGCTGGGACTGTATGTAGCTCAATGGTTGAGTGGTCCTGGCTTCAATCCCCAGTACCAAAAAAAAAAAAAAAAAAAAAGTGGGGGAAAACATTCCATTCATAATGAAAAAAATTAGAATATTAAATGGAGCTTGTGTTCTCTGGTTCACTGTAATCCCCACCACTCCCTATTATCCTATACTTGGACCATTTTCTGTTTACCTGAAGGAATTTGAGTTTACCACTTCTTCATCTAAACAGTGGTATGTTGGAGCTCATTCATACTAACTTACCAGAGCCAGTTACTACATTCTCAGGGATTCTGTGAGCCAGCTTAGTTGGTAGCCTGAAGCCAACCATGGTGGGAGTCTGTACACCACAAAAACTGACAAAAAAACTATGAATTCATTTATCCACCCCCATCCCAGAACTGTTTTATCAGCCTGCCTCTGAGTCAGATGCTAACCCTTCACTTCGTAGATCCATGTCCAAAAAGGGAAAGGATTGTGGAAGGTTACTAAGCTACAGTTAATGTGGCCTTCTGACTCCTCCTTGAGCACATTCTCTATGCTTAGAATATACAAGGACAGCAAGCCTAACCAGGATCAGACCTGGCTCCCATAAGGCTGGCAGAAGTATCACAGAAGCCCTGTTGTCCTTCAGTGTGCTTCCTGGCAGATGCAGGGATTACAGCCAGGTTGTTCTTATTGCTACCTCACATAGGAAAATGGCAGGTTATGGAACTTACAGCTTTCCACTCTTCCAGGTAATGGCACAAGAAACAACCATGGAGAGGAGCCCAGAAGATGGGGCCTACATAAAAGGACTTTACTTAGAAGGTGCCCGTTGGGACAGGATAGAGATGCAGATTGCAGAGTCTTTCCCCAAAATCCTTTATGACCCATTGCCCATCATTTGGCTAAAACCAGGGGAGAGTTCAACATTTCTGCATCAGAACATTTACGTGTGTCCAGTCTACAAAACAAGTGCTCGGAGAGGTACCCTCTCCACCACGGGCCACTCCACCAACTACGTCCTCTCCATTGAGCTCCCAACAGACATGCCCCAGAAGCACTGGATAAACCGAGGGGTAGCCTCGCTGTGTCAGCTGGATAACTGATGGCATTTATCTCAAAGCACAAAGTAAAAGCCATTTTATTCTCTACTAAAAGCCATTTTATTCTTGAGAGACATTAGATGATGATGATGATCGTGGTGGTGGTGGTGGTGATAACAATGATCACAGAGCTGAGCCAGATATTTCACAGCAGCCCTATATGGTAGGGCTTACTTTATGGCCACAGAAACCATGATATGGAAAAGGTAGGTGGTGTCCCCCAGATCAGAGCCACTAAAGTAGAATTAAAACACAGGCAGTGGAATTCTTCTACCTAGACTTTTGGTCATATGACTTAAGTTCTCTCATAATTATTTTTTATTTCAATCACTTCTGTCCTAGTCTATCTACAGGGCTACCATCAATGCCCCTTAGGGGCTTGAAATACTCTTATTTACTAAGGCTCTTGATAGATTTAAAATGCAAATATCCTGCAATGATCTTAGGTGGTGGCTATTATCTATTTTATAGACAGAGTTCCACAGTCAGTGGTAGAACTAGGACCCAGCTGCTTCCCGACTAGCCCATGCAGATGAACTAAAGCTTCAGGAAGAAAGGAGAGATGAGAGAACCATATTTGTTGCACACCTACTGGGTACCAAGATTTGTGCCCAGGCCTCAGACTTGATCCTGTAGGCTGGGCATGACTGACTCTCCCTCTGGAGGTTCAGGGGAGTTTAGTAAGTTGCTTGAGATCATCCAGGTTTTTCATACTTGCAGACCAGGTTTCCAGTCGAGGTTTGTCTGGTTCTTGAACCCATGCATTTGCCACATGCTACCTCCCTAAGCACTTGGTTGTGTTGATACAGACTCCTGGAAGAGATGTCTAGCTCCAACTACACAACACTGCCAAGAAATTTCAATCACTTGTTTCTCCCCAAGGCCAGCTGGAAGGGAATCCTGAGGGAGATAAAAGATTGAATTCTTGATGTAGTGAGTCTTCACTAACCCTTTCATGTGGCTCTTTGGCTCTAAGTGGCTTCTTTCAGGGTATTCTATTGGTCACTTCACAGCTGAACAGACATACAGCTATTTGAGTCTTAATGTATCTGGCCAGGATCCTCTTCACTAAAATAAATGTCCTGACTCAGGGTCTTCAATTTTTTTTTTTTTTCTGAATGCGGGAAGTTTCTGAGAACCAATAAACATATTTCAGAAAACTTCCATTTTAGTTTCTTTATGGCACCAAATTCTGATTGAGGAATCTGACTTCTGAGATCAGCAGATCATCCTGGTGACCCAAGAGATTAAGCACACCCTTGTTCTCCATATCTTGCCACTGAGGAAGTAGAAACCATGAAGAAGAGCTAGGGTCTAGCTTTTGCAGTAGGTAACTTAATAGCTATTTTTTTTCTGAAGAAACCTGACTTTTTACAGTGAGGGGAAAAATCAGAGTGCACAGATAGCTGGAATCGCTGTACCATCCCAAGTAGCCTGGTCAGACACGTGAGATGGAAAGATGGTCAGGATCCCACATCCCAGAATCTGGGACTGGTAGGTAAGTCACATTGCCATCTGTAAAAGAACTGTCAGAGAGGGGGTTGCTAAGAGCACAACGGAATTTTAATTACAGTTATCCAGTTCCAGCTCCAGCAACAAAAAGCTGAGGGAGGCAGAGACTCTCATTCTTCAGGGGTCAAGGGACAAAATGTTTTTTGTTATGGATGAAATTTTTGTAATTTAAAAAAAAAATCTTTCCTCCACTTTGAAAACAAAGATTGCCCTAAATTTGAGGTCATTTTTAATTTGGGCCAGTGTGGTAATAAGGTCTCCTCCTGGGAAAAAGCAATATGCTCTTCAGAAACCATGGTGAGTTAGAGGCTGCAGTCCTAGGCCAGAGATGGCCAGAAGTCAGCTCTGGGGGAAGCAGCAGGCCCTGATGTCTAGATGACATCAGACAAACCTGGCCACCAAGCTAGACCTTGCTCTTGAAAACCTAGCTGCTGAGTAGCTGGTTATGTTCAGTCCATCTCAATGATGGAAGAAAATTACATTAAAGGAGGGGATGCAGGAAGGTAGGTTGTACTTTTATTTTTTTTTTTAGAGAGAGAGAGAGAGAGAGAAATTTTTTAATATTTATATTTTTTAGTATTCAGCGGACACAGCATCTCTGTTTGTATGTGGTGCTGAGGATCGAACCCGGGCCACACGCATGGCAGGCAAGCGCGCCACTGCTTGAGCCACATCTCCAGCCCCTAGGTTGTACTTTTAAATATATATATTTATTTTTTAGGTGTAGTTGGACACAATATCTTATTTATTTTTATGTGGTGCTGAGGATTGAACCCAGGACCTTGCATGAGCTAGGCGTGCACTCTACCGCTGAGCCACAACCCCAGCCCTAGGTTGTACTTTTTTAAAAGACTGAAGATGGGGATTTTTATAGTCTTGGAAAGAAAATGGGGAGAAATCATATTAAAAATAAAAACAAGCCAAATGTGGTGGTGTAATCCTAGAGATTCAGGAGGCTAAGATAGGAGGGTTGCAAGTTCAAGGCCAGTCTCAGCAACTTAGCAAGACACTAAGTGACTTAGTGAGACCCTGTCTCAAAATACAAAATTGTTAAGTGCTGGGGACTTAGCTCAGGGGTAAAGGGCCCTGAGTTCAATCCCTAGTACCAAAATTTTTAAAAGTTACATGGAAGGTTTGATAATACATTGACAATAAAGGCTGTGCAACAGTATATGCATCTTTGCAAAGGGGGCTAGACATAAAATTCACATGTAGGTAAGATTTCTGTGGTGTAGAAGGTCCTCAAAGGTTGGCTAGCATTTAAATCAACTTTGTGGAGAAGGCTAGGTGGGAAGGGTGGTTTCTACATTCAATGGACTAAGGCAAAAATTAGACCTAGTCAAAAGTTACTTAAAAATGGAGCATGAGGGAGATGCACAAGCCGTAGCCCACTTGGCAACACAGCCAGTTCTTCCTCCAATGTGGGTACATACAGCTCACTGGCTCATTGGCCGACCACCAAGCAGTTGGCTTGAGTTCACAGACACGATGTTGCATGGGAAATACTTAGAACACTAGAACCAACTCTAGGCAGGGAGATGCTTCCATACTGAGACCCAATGAAGGAAAGTGACTGAGAGAATGGCAGATTTCTATCCCCCTATTTAAGCCAGGCTGGGACACTGCACACTGAATAGCCACTACACCTGCCAGCACATTAAATTTCTGTCTCTCTGTACCAAAGGCCTATTGCTGCATTTGTGTTAAGTACGCATGTGCATATGCTATTACTCACAGCTGCTCTGCAGATCACTGCCAAACCCTGTAGTACTTACCCCGAGCATGATAAAGTATGTTCCTGCTCATAGGAGGCAAGTTTCATCAGCTGCTTCTGAGGGTCATCATATCCCATTTTGGAAAGAATACAAAGAGACCAAAATTGATAGAGACTTATCTTTATTGGTGTTCCAACTCTCTTTGGAGATAACAGAGAATGATAGTGATATACAAATGTCTTAATATGGACTCTCACCTGACTCCACACAGAGATATAAATCCTTTCTGTGTTCCTTTCTATTGGTCTTATTTCTGCTTGGACATACTTGAAAGCTATTTCAGACTTTGTATTATTCAATTGTGTTAAAGTCAAAAACTCATAATGAATGCAGGATGAATTTCTAGTAAGCTCTTCAGATCCAAATGCATCTTAAGTAATCATGGCTTTAAGAGAAGGCTCTAAGGTAAGGTGAACATGCCTGCATTCAAAGCGGCTTAAGAGGTGGAGGCAGGAAAAATACAAAGCTCATGGCCAGCCTCTGCAATTTAGGGAGATCCTGTCTCAAAAAATAAAAATGGCTGGGATGTGGCGCAATGGTAGAATGCCCTGGGTTTTATCCCTAGTACCATACCACGTGCGCACACGCGCACACACACACACACACACACACACACACACAAAGATAAACATACATTTAACTAAGGCATGTGCTTTTGTGTATGGGGGGGGGCATAGGTGTCACATACAATTTCCATGGTCAGATTGAAACCCCATGATCAATCTTACTTTTTAAAGGGAGTTCATCTGGAAATTGAAAGGATCACAAGACTATAAACAAGCTCACACAGAAACAACCATTTTTATGTAAATCCATAACATTTTGCTTGCTGGGTATAGTGGCACATGCCTATAATCCCAGTAACTCAAGAGGCCGATGCAGTAGAATCACAAATTTGAGGCCAGCCTCAGCAACTTAGTAAGGCCCTGTCTCAAAATCAAACGGGATGTGGGAAGGTGGGTGCCATGCATGGGTATGTAGCTCAGTGGTAAAACATCCCAGTTGCCAGTACAAAAAATAAGTCTCCTTTAAAAAAATATCTTGAAGGAGTTTATAGTTTTTGAATAGCCAAAAGAACTTCTATGCCAACAACTGATGCTTTGCATTGGCTGATGTGTGGCAAACAGCAGTCCCATGAAAAATTTCATCACCTTTAGCTTTCCTCCCACCTGTTTCCAAAGGTGACTTCAGTGACCTCTAGGGTTAATGCCATCTGCTCAGGCAGCAAGACCCAAACAAACCCTTGGGATGTGTAGACACATGCTATGGATGAGGACTAGTTGTGGAGGTCCGAAGAAGAAGCTTGTTTTTTTGTCCCTAATCAAGGTGAAGAGTGCTATATTTTGGTTTCCATTTAAGACAGAGACGGCTCATCATTCTTGGAAATAAACTGACTTCTGGTTAAGAAACTTCATCATGGGACTTGAGATACACTGGTTTGGAAAGTTTCCTCAGTTTCTCCTGGGTTCGAAGTCCCCGGCCTTGTAGTGGCGTAAGGCCCATTGGAGGCAGATGAATCTAAACAATAATAATGATGATATTAAGAATTATACTCATAAATTATTGCTGCTGCTTATATTCATTGAGGATTTACTCCCTACTATGCTGCCTGCTAAGTGCTAAATCTACCAGTGACTCATGTTTATAATCTCTTCACTCATTGACCTTTACAACACATCATAAGAAATTATTATTCCAGTATTTATACATGAGAAAACAGAGGCTCAAAGAAATTACATCCTAACTTGCTCAAGATTGTACATTAAGTGGGGGAACCAGGATTTGAACCCAGACCTGTCTGATTCCAGCTCTTGTGCTCTTCTTTACCATATTATCTAAATAGAAAACAGTGAGCACAGATCACTCAGCAAGATGGAAAGGTACCCAAAGGGAGAGAAAAACAAAGTGTGTATGCAAAGATATTCAGTGCACAGTGGAAAACTGGGACCAACCTGCTAGTAGATAGCTAGTTAATAATGGCTGTGATGGTTAATTTTGCTTGTCAATCTGACTGGCCCAGACCAAACATCATTTCTGGATATATCTGTGAGGGTGTTTCTTGATGAGATCAGCATTGGGATCAGTGGACGTAGTAAAGCAGACTTCCCTCCCCATTGTGGATGGGTGTCCTCCAATCTGCTGAAGGCCCAAATAGAACAAAAAGGCAGAGGAAGGAAGAATTTTCCCCTTTTGCTCTCTGTCTGCCTTGCTTGAGTAGGGATATCTTATCTTCTCCTGCCTTCCCACTGAGATTTACACCATCAGTCCACTTTGTTCTTAGGCCTTCAGACAAAGACTGAATTCTGCCACTGGCTTTTTCCTGGGACTTCAGCTTGCAGGAAGCAGAACATGAGATTTCTCAGCCTCTATAATTGTGGGAACCAATTCCTCATAATACAACTTCTTTTATATATACTCAGATAAATCTATCCAAATATATACCCATCCCACTGGCTCCGTTTCTCTGAAGAACCCTAATACAAGGGTACATTCCTACAATAGTATACAACGTAACCATTTAAAAAGATTGAGGTAGAGCTTTATACAAAGATGTTCAGAAGAGCTGGGCATGGTGGCACATGCGTGTAATCCTAGTGACTCAGGACACTGAGACAGGGAGAACGCAAAGCCAGCTTCAGCAATTTAGTGAGGCCCTAAGCAATATAATGAGACTTTGTCTCAAAAAATAAAAGCCCAAAAAACAGAAAAACTGTCTAGAAGTGTGGCTCAGTGGTTAAGTGCCTCTGGGTTCAATCCCTGGTACTCCCCCCAAAATAAACAAAAACCCCAAACAACAAAAAATTGTTCAGGAGTAGGCAATAAGTAGGCAATAATAAAATAAGTATGCCTAGAATCTCATATATGTAAAGAAATGTATAGGAAAAAACCTAAAAGATGTATCACCAAATGATTAGATTGAGTCAATACAATATCAAATTGCTGCTTTTTTTAGGTCAAAGACCAAATATTGTCATTTTCATGTGTTGCAATATAATAGTTACAGTTCTTATTACCACACAGTGAGGATTTTGGTGAGAATTTTTGACAGTTTTTACTTTCTAATTTATGTATTCTTTTAATGTTTGAACTTTATTCTTTTAGTAACAAAAAACCTGCCTTTTATAATAAGGAAAGTAAAAGGATTTTCATAAAAAAGGTGGAGGTCAAAAGAGAACACTATATAAACATGAGCTGTTTTCCCCTCCCTTATGTGGGGAAGTTGTACCAGAAGGAGAAACCAGGCATTCATTGACACTCTAGGTGGCATGCAAGGATATGCCTCTTACAGTAGCTTGGTATACATTCTTAGAAATAAACTGGGTCAACAAGGATAGGTAGCCCCCACCTGTTAACTGGAGTTGCACTTACAGGCCTTGGGTAAGGAATCTGGTAATGTAGTCCAATTTCAATTCTGGCTGTGCATTCATCTATACACTGTTTAATCAGGTCTCTGTCTGTGAGCTATCAAAATTGGAAAACAAGTGAGGCTTTTTGCATCCTTCTAAATGTTCATAAAGTATAGGTACACATGCTCTCTCAGCCTTTTTCAGTTTACTAGCCAGTAAATTAAATATTGATAATTTCTTTGATTCCTAGCACAAAAATATTTGATCATTTGAAAAATTAAATATGAAAATTTAATATTAAATATTGCAATTTAATATTAAAACTTACTGTGGACTCAATTTTTAAAAGAGGTAATACATATACATGCTAAAAAATAATATCAAAGGATATAATGAAAAAATTATGTCTCCCTTCTTCCCTTGTCTTCTAATTCCCCTACTCAGAGATAATTTACCAACAGTTTCTCCTGTGTCTTTCCAAAGATATTCAATGTATATATAAGCCTATATGTATGTAGAGACTTGGCTTTTCCCTTTCACAAACAATAGCTCAGTTTGTTTTAAGCGCTGTTTTTCACTAACATAATTTGAAGCTCTTTCTATATTCATACTGAATATAGGGCTGTCCTATTCTTTATAAAAGCTATACAAAATTCCAACATAAGATTTTATTATAATTTAACCAATATCCTGCTGATGGACATTTAGGTAATTTCCAATCTTTTGTCACCATAAACAATTCTGCTAAAGATCCCTCTGAAAAATTTTTTTTGGCTCAGATGCAAATATAGCTAAAAGATGAATTTACAGAGAAAGAACTGCTAGAAGTAAGACTATATGCTCAGGCATTTCTAATTCTCACAGTATTCCCAAGTTACCTTCTAGAGTTTGCACCAATTTATACTCCCATCAACAATGAATGAAAAAGTGCTTTTAACACCTTTCTATATTGATTAACTTAAAGTAACCTGAATTTTCATCCAGTGCTGATCAGAAACCCCTTCAGTAAGATACTGGAGAATGATCTACCTCTTGTTTTAAACGACAATTTCTTTGCTCCCCAGAACCACAAAAACAAAACAAAATCCCCCAGAACTGTAAATTGTTTTGCTCATTAGTAAGAGGAACAAAGAGTTTCAAAATCTCAAATTAGTCAAATTGTGACAGTCTATTTTCAAGTAAAGGGATGAAAAATTCATTCCGAAAAACAGAAAGCCCAACAGGAGAAGGGGAGAAACTATTTCATTCTAGGATGGAAAATGAATCAACACGTGGATCTGCTATGAGTTTGCAAGTGGCCCCAGAGTAGAGCTAGGATTGCATCAGCCCCAGATGACACCCACAGTGAAGTCTGGGCCCATGTGGCTTGGAAATTCCAAGGGAGTTCCTGCCTACAGTGCCTGCTGGACCAGAGGGGAAGAGTTCCAGGAACAGAAACACAGAGAGGCACACCAAGTCCTCTGGGGCAGAGTCTCAACTGTCTGACCTCTGTGCTTCTCAGAAACTACTGCTCTGCTGCCACATTGGGAACAGATTTGCACGTTCCCATCTGCCCATTGGGATTCAAAGCAATTAATGAGATACCTTTGGATTATTAAATTCTTAGTGCAATTAAAGTTACAAGAAACTGCTTATGTCTGCATGAAGGATTAAGGAAAAAGGAAAAACCCCTGACAAAGATACTGTGAAGTATGCTGGATCTTCTGGAGATCAGCTGTCTCTCTGAACAAGCTCAGGCCAGAGTACTCCAAATTCAGCCATTCATGGGCTGCCTGCAGGATTTTGCCATATCCACACATCACCTATACTAACAGTAAAATTTTTCTCTAAGTGGACTCTCTCCTAAGCAGTAGTATTTGTGAAATTCTACCTTGGCTACTTTTCCCCTAGTACATGCTAGTACATATCTTATAATTAGAAACTAGGGCACCTCTTTTCTGCACCCTCAATTTCATGTAGCATCGGTGGCACATACATCTCCCGCTGGCTTACCCCTTGGGCCAAGCCAAGCAGAGGTAGGATTATCGTGATACCTGAAAACATAGCTTCAAGTAGTTCTCAGATGAGGGAGCCTGCCTAAATATAGTGGGCATATCTTAGGATACTCCCCCACACCAGGCTGGACATTGTGGGATCATAATCTCTGCCTTCAACTATTAAGGCTACTATCTGTGCAGAACAGCTCTAAAAAATAAAGCTACAAAAAAGGGACCTTGGTATATAATTAATCACGGGCAATGATGGCTACAGACTATTATTGTTCAAAGTAGTGGCTAACGTGGGGTTAGGAGAAGCAGAAAAATTGAGGAAAACTTTTAGAGGTCAACTGAATCAAATGATTTGTAAATTGTTCATTAATTCAACCATGCTAAGCAAAGTAAGCCAATCCCGCAAAACCAAAAGCTGAATGTTCTCTCTGATAAATGGATGCTGATCCATAATGGGGGATTTGTGTGGGGGGGGAGAATAGAGGAACTTTGGGCAAAGGGAATCGGAGGAGGGAGGAGGCATGGGGGCAGGAAAGATGGGGGAATGAGATGGACATTGTTACCCTAGGTACACGTATGACTGTATATATGGTGCGACTCTACATCGTGAACAACCAGAGAAATGAAAAGTTGTGCTCCATTTGTGTATAATGAATTGAAATGCATTCTGCTGTCATGTGTAACTAATTAGAACAAATAAAAAACTTAAAATAAAAAAAAATTTAAATGTTCATTAATTCAGTGAAAATTGCAAGGCAGGTCTCATGGGATATGAGATAAGTGTATGATACTGTCTATGTGCTCTAGAACTGACCTTTGTTGGGAAGACCAACCTAACATAAATGAAACAAAGAAGGAAAAAGAATATGACAACTCAGGGGTCTTCAAACATGTTGTGTGTGTTTGTGGTACCAGGGATAGAACAAAGGGACACTTAACCTCTGAGCTACACCCCTAACTCTTTTGAGACAGGGTCTTGCTAAATTGCTGAGGCTGGCCTTTGTGATGCTCTTGCCACGGCCTGGCAAGTGGCTGGGATCACAGGTATGTGTCATAGCACCTGGCTCCAAACATTTTATTATCCACTTCTTCCTTACAATAAAAAATTCTGAGCCCATAGTTCCCTTATATGTACTTTTTATCAATCTATAAACGTACTAGTTTATAAATTTATAAATTATAGATGCTCCTTGACTTATGGGATTATTCCAGATTCTCCCATCGTAAGTTGAAAATTATGCATTTGATACTTCATACCTAACCTACCGAACATCACAACTTAACTTGCCTTAAATCTGCCTGAGACATTTGCATTAGCTTAGGGTTGGTCAAAATCATCTAACATAAGTATATTTTTGTTATTATTTTTTTTGGTGGCACTAGGAATTTGAACCCAGAGGCTCTTTACCACTGAGTCACATCCCCAGAACTTTTTATTTTTTTTTTTTTAAAGAGAGAGAGAGAGAAAGAATTTTTTTAATATTTATTTTTTAGTTTTCGGCAGACACATCTTTGGTTGTGTGTGGTGCTGAGGATCAAACCCGGGCCACACGCATGCCAGGCAAGTGCGCTACCGCCTGAGCCACATCCCCAGCCCCAACTTTTTATTTTTTATATGGAGATAGGGTCTTGCTAAGTAACTTAGGCCCTTGCTAAGTTGCTGAGGCTAGCCTTAAACTTGCAATCCTCCTCCTCAGCTCCCAAGTTGCTGGGATTACAGGCTTGCACCATCAAGCCTGGCCAATGTATATTTTATAATGAAGTGATAAATATCTCAAAATTTGAGGTACAGTTTCTACTGAATACTTAGGGGTCATCTATATATATGTACTAATAAGTTCATTATAAATAATATACAAAACAGACATTTTTTATAGAATGAAATAGAAAAAACAAAAATATCAGCTGAAGTATTTTATTTCTATTCTTTGAGGACTGTTTAAGGACTTCATGGGGAATACAACCCTGGTTTGGCAAGCCTGGTCTACACTAAGCAGAAAGAGTTTGGAGAAGCTGGAGAAGGGTCAGAAGAGTAGAGGGAGCCATCATTACCAACTCAGCCTTAAAAGGCAAGGAGGCTTCAGGGATTCCAAAAAGGGGAAATCAGGAGGTTTTCTTTGGAGGCACTTGTCTCGGTTGTAATTTTATATTTCCTCTCATCTAACTCTGAAACATCTTTGAGGGACCTTGTCTTGGTTTTGCTCATTTTCATATCCCTGATGTCTAGCTGGTGTTGGGCACATGCTGGGCACTTGAGTGCTTTCTGAATGAGGAATAAGAACAAAGAGTTGCTGAGTGGTGACAGGAGCTACAACAAGTGCACAAGTGGGGAGGGGAGGTGAGTTCTGCTCTGGATTATCAGACAGTGGTGAGGTCCTTTCAGGTGCTGGTTGGAGGCCAAGGCCAGGTATTCAGATGTGAGGGCTGAAACCACATATGGTTTCATGTTGCATGGGCCTCAGTGCAGAGGGCTGACCTTCAGGGGACCCCTATAGCTTATGGGAGGGAGTGTGGAGAAGGCAGGGACAAAAAGAGACAGACTCAAGATTCAGGGAGGGAAAAGTATGAGAGCACATTGGAAGTTTCACGAATCCATTGGATCAATGCAAACGAGGCGGAAGAGAAGCTGATAATCTCCTTCCATGCACGACACCTGTGGTCTCCCTAAGGAGCTCAGAGCTCAGGCCTTATGGCTTGTTGGGAATGGATCAAATCTGGCTCCCTGGGGTCTGGGTGTGCAGTTCTGTTAAACTGGCTAATAGAGGCATTATTTTATTCAATTCTATGGTCCCAAAGAGCAACCTCACTCTGCTCTCCAAAAAGGCTCAAGTTCAAAGCTCAGTTATGAAGGGAACCCTGTGTCTTAATGCTATTCTCTTCCCTCTGAATACATCTATATTTGGAGGCAATGATTAGTTTATAAAGTGAAAAAAAAAAAAAAAAACATTTCAGTGTGCACCTCCTGTGGGAATGACTTGCAAAGGGCACAGCATGTGACAAACAACTCTTCCTCTAAAAATTTTCATTGGTCTGACTTTAGGTCACCTGGTTCATAAAGTCTTCTGAGGACACTGAGCCACTTACTGGCCAGACTGAGATTTGGAACAAGTGAAGAGAGCAGCACGGCTGTGTTCAACTCTAGCGGTTGCGCAAGCTAGTAAAACTGTGCTCAGGCCCCTCCTGCCCAACTCGCCACCATTTTGATTTGTGCTGCTCTGTCCTCTGAATTTAGGAGAGAAAAGAAATGAACAACATGAGAAACTACCCTTCTCACAATCTCCAACGGAGGCCTACTTACGTTTTTGTTTTTCTGGAACAGTGTTCTTGCTTCGTTGAGTATGTACTGTTTTTCTCTGATGGTGTCTTCCATCTGCCCTGATGCCGCCTGCCATTTCCTTGCAAGCCTGAAAACCCGGCGGTAGAGGCCAAGAACTTCTTGTCGTGTTGCTGTTGTCATCTCCAGACCCACCAAAATAGAAGAGGAAAAATTTGCATAAAAATGCAATTTGACAGGAAGCAGCTAGGCAGATGTATATTTTTTAAAAATCAAGATTTTTAATTAGTCTAGAAATACTGCTCTTTGTCAACAGATCTGTTGTGTAGCATTGCCAGAATGGATTGGCAGAACCAGCAGCAAACTTAACTGACGTTGAACATCATCCCTTGGCTGAGGGCTGCTCTATCATGCTGTCTGCCCTGAGGGCCATTTTTGCAAACATTGGCAAAACCAAAATTCGCATTTACTACCCTTTAAAGCCAGTGTTAACAGATTATATCAGAAATGATACTTTTAGTGGTAAAATTACATCACAAACCTGAGTGCCTAGAAGACACACTTGGAATAACTGAATTTTCTAATTAAGTAAGAACTGGTAATTAAAGCTTAGGTTGTGTACTCAAGTGCCTCCAGGGCCTGGCAGGCGACATGTGAGGGTGTGTGGCTGGATGGGGACAGTGGCCAACTGACAGGACACACCCCTCTGAAAGGGGACAGTTGCTATTCAGCTCCAGCCAGCTGTTAACATGCAGAAACAAGAGCCTAGAGATGTCAGATGGATGGGCCTTATAGCTTAAGAATAGGTGGCAATCCAGATTTTAATAATATAAATTTCAAAACAGGCTCATTCATTATTTCTGAAAATGTGAGCACCATGCAGGGCAAATAAAATGACTCTGTAGGCTCAATTCCACCCAAAGGCAGTCAGTGTATGACTCTCTCTTTTTTCAGCCATATGGGGGATGGAATTCAGGACCCCGCATATGCTAGGCAAGCACTCTACTACCGACCTACACCCCTAGCCATTTTGCAGGGAGGGTACTCAAGATTGAATTCAGGAATACTTGACACGGAGCCACATCCCCACCCCAGGCCCTTTAAAACTTTTTTTTATTTTGAGGGCTGGGGTTGTGACTCAGTGGTAGAGTGTTTGCCTAGCAGGGGTGAGGCATTAGGTTCGATCTTCAACACCACATTAAATAAATAAACACATTAATTAATTAAAGGTATTGTGTCCATCTACAACTAAAAGTTTTTAAAATTTTTTAAAATTTTGAGACAAGGTTTTGCTAAGTTACCCAGGGTAGCTTTGAACTCAAAACCTTCCTGCCTCAGTCTTCTGAATAGCTGGGATTCCAGGTGTGTGACACACACCCAGCAGGTTATGACCTCTCTTTAGTTCATCATAACATTTTAGGAAATATTTCTCAAATTTTTTAAATCTATTTTCCTGTCTAATAAGAACTGTAAGTAAAATAATTATAATTGAAAATTTTTCTGGTGATAACAGTTTTAATTCCAGAGGGCTTGGCTAAATGAGAACTGACCTAAGTATATTTCCTCGAGCTAACTGATTTTTTTTTAAAATGAAATTTCTTTCACCTGGGTACAGTGTTGAATGCCTATAATCCCAGGGATTCTGGAGGTTGAGGCAGGAGGATCGAAAGTTTGAGGTCAGCCTCAGCTGTACCCAACTTAGTGAGGGCTTGTCTCAAAATAAAAAATAAAAAGGGTTAGGGACTTGTGCCCCTGGCTTCATTAAAAAAAAAAAAAAAAAAATTGGGGCTGGGGATGTGGCTCAAGCGGTAGCGCGCTCGCCTGGCGTGCGTGCGGCCCGGGTTCGATCCTCAGCACCACATACAAACAAAGATGTTGTGTCCGCTGAGAACTAAGAAAAAATAAATAAATATTAAAATTCTCTCTCTCTCTCTCCGTCCCCCTCTCTCTCTCTCTTTAAAAAAAAATTGTCACTTTTAAGTTATTTTTATCCTGAAATATTTCAGATACAAAAATATCGAGAATTATACAAGTCCTATAATTACAACAAACCTTAAACAGATTAAGTATACACTGATGAAACTCTCATTTAGCCACTTTCAAATCACATTCCCCTTCCTCACTTCTAGAAGAAACTGCTATCCTGAATGCTCTTTATCATTGTCATGAGTTATCTCTGCACTTAACACTGTATGGTATTGCTCTGCCACTTGCATGTTTTGTGCATCATATTTGCAAGATCTGTGTTGTCACTTGAGCTCTAGTTCAGACATTCTCACAGCTGCAATTCAGTCCACTAATGAAAACATCCCAATATACTGTCTATTCCGTTGATGGGCATTATGTATTTCAATCTCTACACAAAAGCTTCAGCCAATTTAATATTTACATTTCTGCATCTAAAATTTCAGGGAAAACAGTTGTGGAAATGTTTCACTGGTGGAGGTTTCTGCTTGGTTAGACAGAACAATAAATATTGTATTGCCTTTGACAAGGGGACAGACAGGCTGGAAGACCAGGGGGACAGATTTGGTGAGTAAGTAGCAGGGCCAGACATTTGGACATGCCATTATGAGTCTTGGATTTTTCTCAAACAGGCTGATCAGGATTGGGGAGTAGGCTACTCACTGCCATTTGAGAACATGACCCATTTCCAGCCCCCAGGAGGAGGCAGGATACCTGGAGATGGTATGCTTTAGAGGGTGGTCCTGGGCTTACAGGAATCTGGGCGATGGAAGCTGGAAGAGGGTGTATATATCTAGAAATACTAGGCACCTTCAAGGAATTCACCTTCCAGAGAATTAAAGATGACTGCCCCTCCTACTTACCCTGACCCTGGGTGACCTTTCTTGAGCAATGAGGAACAAGTGAGGCTTAGCTATTTGATGAAAACCTTGAAAGCACTACTCCACCCAAGGAAAAGGTTAAATGGATCAAAGTTATGTACAAAACCAATTCTGAAGTCCATGATACTTCACAGAAAAAAATGCTTAAAAGGAATTCATAAAAACCAATAGAGAACATCATGCGTAATAAAAAAAACCAGATGAGATGACGACATTTTTCCTGGTAAGGAAACAGGTTTCTGAGTTTCTGGCTCTCCCTAAAACTCCATGGTTTCATCTGAAAATACATGAGTCAGTTCCTGTGAGGGACAGTCACGTCTATTAGTGATTGCTTCACTTCTCTGTCATTAAAAGACAACGCTTCCTTAACTTGGAGACACTTGCCCCTGAAAGTGAAGGTCAGGCATATTAAGATCTAGCACACTCCTCCAGAGCCTGACTTGAATGAGTTTTCTTCCACTGCTCTGAGAACCACCCTTTAAACTCTGATCATATACCATAATCTGAAAACAGAAGTCCTGTAGTTAGGTTAGTCAAGGGGACAAGCAATACTAACAACTGATACTTAGAAGGACTATTTTTAAAACGCATTAATTAATGTGTTTTGAAAACTAATCCTGAAAAGGAGATAGGTGATGATTCTCTCTCTATTAGGTGACTCAGAAAGCCCGAGTTCCAAAGATTTCCAGAGAGGAGGTTTTAAAGCCGTAGTCACTAATAAGTACTATCAACAAGTCTTGAGAATAAAAGCAAGAAAAATTAAAGTATGTCTTTTTTATTTTTCCTTACTGATTTCTTTCAGTTCTCTGAGGGAACCATGATCTTATCCATGCTGTTCCCTCTTTTCGGAAGCCCTTCCCTGACCTCCTTCCTCCCTTTTACCTGACCAACCCCTACACATCCTTCAGCTCCCCATGAAAACATGGTTGACTCAGAAAAATCCTCTCCCCCTTCTTACCTCCTTCCCCACCCACAGTTTGGGGGCTCTCTGCGGAAGCATCCCATGGCTCTTAATATTTCTTCTTTTTAGCATTCATCATTCAAGTAATGGCTTGTTAATGTCTGTTTCCCCCAGTGGACTCTAGTGTCTAGAAAAGGACATCATTGGTATACAACAAATGTTTGCTGATTAAATGAAAATACCTCTGGCTACACAATACCTGTGATTCTAGACATGGAATTGGTCAGACATTAAAAAAAAAAAAGCAGTTCTTTTGCTTTTGGTTTAGTTTTGTCTTTTCTCTTAGAAAAGAGTTCATTTGTAACTTTTTTATAAGGAGATTTTCTCTGCATGGATTTAATGGCCTGAAATCAATATTTTTTTCTTCTCACACTTTTTTCTAGGTGTCAGAGGTCAACTGAGCATAATGGGGTCTGCTGGGAGGGTTCTTTCAGCAATATGGTTGTTTAGAGGACAACACTTGAACTGCAGTCACAACTGGCCATGAAGTCTATTACACAATTCTTACAGTTTGAGTTTTATAATTTTTGAGATTGACACTTAAAACTCTGTTCCTTTTCATCCCCTTAATCCCTAAATCCCAGAATGAGAAAAGATAGAAAATATGAGGTGAGCCCAGAAGTAAATGTAATTGGAAGCTGGTCTCTTTTCTTAAAATCACACCTCACGTATGAAGAGTGTCAAGATGTAGTTCACTATGGAGTGCTCACGTGTAGAGAAGGTGCTGTTGCTAGTGTTTGGCCTCTGGTCTTAGTTGGGAGAAGTTTCCCCTAATGCAGGTGCCCTGAAGTCTGTTTGGGGAGGTGATTCTAGATCTACACATATTTAAAATAAACAAATAATACACACATCTATTAGTTGTGATTATTTTAATGAATCTTAGAAATAGCCCACTAAACACATTATTTCTAATCTATGTAATATAGAGCTTGCTCTAAAGAAATGTTTTCTCTAATATGAGAATGCTGATCCATAATGGGGAGAGCTAGGAAGAGTAGGGGTTTGGGGGTGGGAAAGATGGTGGAATGAGATGGACATTATTACCCTAGGTACATATGTGATTGCACAAACTGTGTGACTCTGCATGGTGTATAGCCAGAAAAAATGAGAAGTTGTGCTCCATTTATGTACAATGAGTTTAAATGCATTCTGCTGTCATATATAACTACTGAGAACAACAACAACAAAAAGAAATGTATTATCAAAATTTTTATGTTGGTTTAAAACACAGGAAAATAGCAAAAAAAAAAAAAAAAAAAGAACCGTAATAATTCTGAATAACAGAAGCATGGGAGCTGTGCTCTAAGGCACCTGCTATAGCATACTTTTTTGTCATTTTTTGGCGGGGAGAGATGCAGCCTTCCACATAGAAGGACTCTTTTCTGCT